CATTAACATTACCAAAAAGTTTTCATCGTTATGATTCATCACGTTCATCAATACGAGCTATGGCAAATCAATTAACAAAAAAAGATGTTAGTTATGAAACAACAATAACATTAACAACAAGTTGTGTATTTTTAACAACAAATAGTATAGCAAGTATATATGTTTATGTTAAATCAAGTTATCGTTCAAATCGTACACGTGTAACAGAAGATTTAAAAACATCAAATGTTTATCTTATATTACGTATGTTAGCATTAATTGATACAGTTTTAGAATTTTATATTTATTTTTTAACTGGAAAAAAATTTCGTGAAGAAGTTTATCATGTTATTAGTGAAATTCTTCAACATACACCATTTAGACATTATTTTAAATTTAAATGTTTATCATCAACAGATCTAACTAATCAAAGTCAACTAAATAATAATAATAATAATAATAATAATAATAATAATTATAATTATAATCAAAAATCAGCAAAGACAATTGACAGCTGTACTGATACAGCAGAACGACGAAAAATAATAAATATGAAATATCATGATATTAAAGAGACACTCGATAGAATGGAAAGTACTGTATAAAAATCTTTTTCTTTTTTTGCAATGCATGAACATATGTGTTGACTAAGAACAATAACACTAATATAATATCGATTGATTATTAGAATATTATAGATTCAAAATCATATAATAAGATTAACTTATTTTGTATACAATAACGAATATAGTCAGATGTTTTCTTTATTGTTTTAAAGAATTCATCGAATCGCAAACTAATAATCAGTTTTGCAATTTGTGTTATTGTTACTTCAGAAAATATAATTATCTTCTGTTATTTATTTGCCATAACATATACGCGAGAAGTCGATCAAATACAAATCCAAACTCTTGTACAATCAATTGAACAAAAAGAAATATTAATAATAAAAAACTTGCCGATTTACATATCGGTTTATTACTTTTGTTTTTGAAAGTTTTTCATATGTAATTTCTTATCAATAAATGAATATCATCTTTTTCATTTTTATTTTAAAAAAAAAAAGAAAGAAATTCAAAGTATATATAATTTATTCATACAAAAAAAAAAGAAACAAAGATCGAAATGTCTATAAAATAATGAATAAATCTAAAACACATCTATCTGTCATTTACCTCGTTCATATAAATGATGATTGACGACATTTTAAGAACACAATTACTCGTGAAAAAAAAAAATTCTATTCTACTCACTGTGATAAATATACAGTCGTAGTAGAAACAAAAAGAAACTCATTTCCTATTGTATAATTATAAATCAATTTATAACAATCTGTATTTTCAAAATACATCAACAATCAATTGAATCTATCTGCATAAAGTTTCATCTAGATAAGAAACATGTGATACGATCATACATTAAAGGGTTATATAAGTTTGCTCTATTATCTACCCGAATATCCATTAGCATAAACATCATGGAAAAACAAAACACTCGAACCCATGTGATTCATAATTAATTCTATATTACTTGTAAAGAATCTTACAAACTATCAATTGCTAAGAAAAAAATATAAATTTGTTTCATTGCCTCGTCTTTGAAAAGTATGATTTACACTCTACATAAAAACTAATAAGTTCAATAGTTCTATCAATACTATTAGTATAAAGACGAAAATTAATATTTTCCTTCTATGATTATTTTATCAGTTGTTCTCCGGAAACTTCCATCGAGAGTAACGATTACATATTGATTTTACTTTCTCTAGTTTTGATTGATATAGAAAATGTTCAGTTTTATAATTAATAAGTATCTATTCATCATTATTGAAATTTCATTGACCTAAGTCAAATTATTATAATAATGTTAATAAACTATTAGACGAAGAAAGAATAATATTCAATTGCCTTAATTGCTGTCATTATTAAACACATTATTTTAAATCATGAAAAGGATCTAATTAATTGAACTTGATATTCTTTCAAAGAAATTAAATATATACTATATTTTTGACAGCAATGATATAAAATGTAAGTTTACAAGATGAAATAGGACATGTTTATAATATTTTTTTTTTAAATAGCAATGTTATTATTCTTAAATAAAATTTCACTATGATAAATGAAAGGTTTTCTTGATTATTTTCATCGGAAGAATGTAACAAGGAATGGAAAATTTTGTGTCATTGCAATAAATAGATAGGAAACTATTTGTTTTTTTCGTATTTAAAATTTGGTAGAAACTGTCACGAGCTGAGTAATAATTGTCGTTGCGTTTTGAAGAAAAGGAAACGATATGAATTAATTTCTCTAAATCCCTTTAATTCTCCTCCTACTATTATGTCATAAATATTTTCTCGGACACGTGCTGAAAATTATCTTACGAAGAAACTTCTCCAAATGTCAAGTCGACTTTCAACCGAGATGATGTTCATTTAATGAGTATTAGAAAAGTCTAGAATGATTTGATTTTTCAAATAAAAGCTGTGCTCCTCCCCCTTCAGAAAATTTCGAATATCTTAGGATAGAAGGTACTAGAAAAGTTACAATTTGCATAAACAACTAATCTCATTAAGAAGTTTGCTCATGCAAAGTCGTTTTACTACGTGATCTGAGAAGGAATCATAACTTTTTATTAGAAAATTTAGTAAAATTTCAAGAAGGAAGAATCGGAATACTAAAACATTCTAGACCTTTCTATTACCAGTTACGATATGTCATATACTATGAAAAGACAAGGCTCGGTATTCAGATCACATTTCATTGCCGATTTCTTATCTATTGATCATGATTGCATATTTCAATTTGATATATTCTTTTATTAAATCGTTCCAATGGCTTCCATCGTACAAAATTGATATACAAAATACAACAAAAATTATTACATCAATTAAACTCACGTTTTCGTATAGGTTAGAATAAGATATAAACAATTTTTTACATTAATTATCAGTTTTTGATTCTTATTTCAAATAATTCCTATAATATTTATTTATTCTTATAAAACAAAATGTATGCTAGAGTATTCAGTCGAATGAAGTTATTTTTCACATTTTTATTTTTCTATAAAAAACTTTCACAACAAGTTTTTCATATTTCTAGTTTTAATGCACAAAAACAAAAAAAAACCAGAACACAGTCCCCTAGATAAAATCAAATGACACAAACATTATAGGTTTATCAATAAAATCAAAAATTTATTTCACACTTAAATTAATGTTTTATTACACTTCAAAAATATTAAAATATCAATATCACCTTCTGAAAGATTTAATCGATGCGAGCTCATTAAAAAATTGCTTTGAGAAAACACACACTCAACTGATACTTATATAGCAGAAGAATATATGCATAATTTTTCTAGCAAGCATATTAAGAGAATAATACGAATTTCATTTCTAGAAAATAAGATCACTGGTTAAATTTTCTTCCTGAAGAAAATCATCAATTTCTTTTCAAACTAATGTTGAATAAACAATTTTTGTTTTTTTTACATGAATGACTTGAGCAGAGCTGAGGAAGTCCGAGTTATGATTCGGACTCGGAAATTTCGAAACAGTGACTCGACTCGAACAGTCGAATCATTCTCGAGTCAATAATCATTAAAAAAAGAACTTTGGTTGGATCGTTTGAAAAATTACAATTTTTAAGAATACATTTTTCGCTTATACAAAACTTTCTGACTAATTCAATACGTTCCATCCTGTGGATTTTTCAAAAGAAAATTTTTCGATGTCTGTATTCATGTTGGATATGTGGTCTTTCTTTTTGAAAGTGTGCATATATATATAAATCAATAAATGATAGTTTTACATTATGTATTCTGCTACATCAGCAACGATTGAATTTGTCTTTCTTTCAATATGATATTTTAATGAAATCGAATCGTCCAAGTTTTACAGAAGCTAATATTTGTCGTTTATCATCTTTGAGATGTAATAAGACATTAATTTCTAATGAATAAATTCGGAACTATGCTCCTGCGGAGTGGAAGGCAGAGAGTTCGGATTCCCACTTTTGAAAAGTAGTAACTTTCTATAGCAAAATTACTGTAGAAGTTTTGTTTTAAAATCTGAATATTACAGCTTTACTCTGAGAAGAGTATGCGAAACTTCACAGTGCATATATTAAGACCCCCCACTGTATTCCTTTTGGCACATCCTTGAATAAATTTTGCTTGTTAACAGGTTTAAATGTAACTTTCTGTTCATAAAAAATGACACTATTCTTTACTTTACAGTTAATCTTGCTGCTACTTTTGTAGTTAGTCTAGAGTAATTGTATCTTTTTATTTTATAGGTGATTTTTCTTTTATCGGTTTTTGTTCCTATGAATTTGTAATTAGATACTGTTTAATAAAAAGTTTCTTATGAATCCTCTTAATAAAAATCAACAGAGAAGAATGGCAAACTAAAAAATTATTCGACTCGACTCGCCCAACCCTGGACTCTATCAATCATAATTCTAGTCTAGAAAATATTATTCCAGAATTAATTCGTATCACATTTAAAATGGTTTAATTTCAGCGCGAAATATACATTTTTGAAGAAATACATAAAATATCTCATCAGATATTTGCTCAACATTCGACATTGAATATTTTTTAGCTAATTAAGTATTTTTCAATTTCTAAAAAAGATTTATCAAATACTACAAAACTAATTTCTTCAACTTCATAAGGTACAGCGCTATCTATTCAAATATATTTATCGAAATTTTTTTCTCATTGGATTAATATATTTGCTAGATTATTGATGTCACTATATGCTTTTGTTAATATAAAATGATAGTAGCGACAAATAAAATATCATTGTATATCTTGCCAAATAGAAAGAAAGAAAGAAAGAGTTCAATTAATGTCAGTTAACTGATCATCATTAATAGACAGACGGCATTATAGAGGAACGAACGACAAAAAAAATCAAGATGGGAGATATAATTCATTTGTCTTTCTCTTTCATTATATTCAATTATTTCTAGATGATATACTAACAATCATAAAACAAAAAAAAAAATATCATCATGTCTGACGAGCCAAATTTAATATCATCTAATGATGATAATGGAAATAAAAAATCTAAAGTAAATCTAAAGTAAAAATTTTTATTATTATTATTACTTTTTTTTTTTCTTTTTAAATCAGGATCAAAAATCATCAAAAGATGTTTGTGATGAATGTGGAATTGAATATATTCCAATGAAATATTCTGATAATGATTATGTTAATTTATCAACATTTAAATTATTTTCACAAAATGTACGTCCAATTATAAATTCACGTTATCCAAAATTACCAACACAAAAAATAATGACATTAATGGCTGCATATTGGCGTGAATTTCTTGAATTAAAAGGTACATTAAATACATCAACAAATAGTACATTAACTGAATCAAATAATGATCATGATGTTAATGATCGTATGGATATTGATGAACCACGTACAAGTCGTTCACGTCGTCGTCGTACAGCTATACAAGATGATAATGAACAAGATGATCAATCAATTGAACAACAACAACAACAAGATGATGATGATATATCAACAGCATCACCACGTAGTTCATCATCACGTATTAATAATAAAAAAATTCCATCATTAAAAATTAAATTACAAAAAGATCAAGCAGCTGCAGCTGCAGCAGCAGCAGCAGCAGCTATAGCAGCTAAAGAACAATTAAATGATAATGATGATGAAATAAAAGCATCATCAACAACAAAAAAATCAAGTCGACAACGTAAACGTAAACGTCGTGATGATGAAGATCCAGCTAATGAATCAGATGCTGAATTTGAAGCTATGTTAGTACAAAGTGAAATGAATGAAGAAGAAGAACAACCAAAAAAAAAACGTGTTAAAAAACCACCCAAACCACCTAAACGTATAGCACGTTTAAATAATCGTCGACAATTACAAGCAGCTGCTGAAGATGCTGCTAATTTACCACTTGATCAAGTTGGTTATGAAACAAATCATCAAGATTATTGTGAAGTATGTCAACAAGGTGGAGAAATTATACTTTGTGATACATGTCCAAAAGCTTATCATCTTGTTTGTCTTGATCCTGAACTTGAACAAGCACCTGAAGGTGATTGGTCATGTCCTGAATGTACAAAAAATGGTATATCAATACGTACACGACAAGCAGCTGCTATAGCAGCTGCACGACAAGCAAAAGAAGAAGATGATAATCATATGGAATATTGTCGTGTTTGTCGTGATGGTGGAGAATTATTATGTTGTGATCGATGTCCATCATCATATCATATGCATTGTTTAATTCCTCCAATGACAATTATACCTGACGAAGATTGGTTTTGTCCACGATGTACTGTAAGTTGAATTTTAAAAGAAAATAAAAAAAAAGATTTGATAGAATATATCTATCTTGTTAGAACTATCTATAGACTTTAGTTGATTTGTCGAAGGGAAAGATTGCTGCTTAAAAATGATAAAAGACTTCGACTCCATTAAAGGATAGTGTCATGTACAGGCAAGAGATATTATATTAAAAAGGAAAAAAAAAAACATTAAAATAATATTATTTTTATTCGATTATAATCTGATTTTTATACATGGATAATATTCTTTTTAAATGATAGTACAAAAGGTATAAGCATTGAATATAGATACGATTAAAATTTTTTGTTAGATTATCAATCCATTTCACAGTTGGTCTCAGTTTATATGCCGTGTGACAGTTTTTGATACATTCACAATTTCGTATATGATAAGATTCATATAAAATGATAAAAATCGGGACATGAAACAGGTGGTCGTATTAGAATTAAAGCATATCATTTTTAACTTTGATTATCAAAGTTTAAACTAAAATTTTAACTTTAACAAATTTACTAAACTATGCTAAACCTAGAATACTATTTCTAATTTTACTTGACTTTGATTCTTTACAAGGCGCATTTGTCTGAATAAGTTCTTTTAGCATAGACATATGTCAAAATGTTGACTATTAAAAAGTATACAAGAAGGAAACGACGTACTCCTGTACTTTTCGAATTCACAGAGTACATCATTTTTCCCTTGGATTCATAGCAAATGCATATATATCTGTGAGATTTGTTTCAGGTAATATTTGTATAAACAAGGATGAAGATTTTGACTACATGACTTTCTATGTACACATACTGCGAATACAAAAAGTATTTTTGAAAACTAAATAGAACATTTTGTAGAGTATTTTTCAGGCAACAAAATATGAATGCAAAGATTTTTTCAAAAAAAAGAAAATTTTTTTTTTATTGTTAACGATGTGATTGAGTATGAATCTAGAAACGCAAATCGTTCAAACAAAAATTGCTCTATCGGGATATGAGTAGATCACTGGAAGAGTAGTTTTGGGGAAAATGACGTAAAGTCTATCCTAAAGATTTTTGACTTTTCCGTCATAAGATTAAAGTATTATTCATTTGTTAATTATAACTATTAAAAATTTCTTTAGATTGAACCACCACCATATGTTGTTAAAAAAATTTTAACATGGCGTTGGGTAACACATCCTGATTCACATTCATCTGTAACAACAGATACAGTAACATCTGAAGTAACTAAAGTTGATGAAAATGGTGAATCAGCTACAACAACAACAGTTATAACAGCTAAACATACAATAACAAGAACAACTGCATCAGATACAGTACCACCAGCTGAAGGTGCAGATAATGGTGCTGATATTAAACAACGTCTTATTCCAACATTTGATACAAGTTTAGTACGTGGTGCACCACGTGGTCCACCTAAAACACGAGAACTTTTTGTTAAATATGATGGTTTATCATATTGGTCATGTGAATGGTTACCAGAATTACAAGTTGAAGTACATCAATCATCATTATGGCGTTGTTATATAAAAAAAATAGGTGATGCTAAACAACCACAACCAACTGTTGAATTAGATGCTGAAGTTGAAGAAGATGATGAAGTTTCACGTCGTTATTATAATCCAAAATTAGAACAACGTTATTATAAAAATGGTGTACGACCTGAATGGTTATGTGTACATCGTATATTAAATCATCGAAAAGAAAAAGGTATACCAATGTATTATTTAGTTAAATGGAGAGACATTGGTTATGATCAAGCAACATGGGAACTTGAAAAAGATGGAGAATATACAAATTTAATTGAAAATTGGCAACAACATATTGATAATTATTGGAAATTAAGGTAAAATAAAAAGCTATTCATGGAATTACGATTCTTTTACTGAGTTATTCAGAAATACAATAAGAGAATAGTTCATATATTATAATATGACGAAGAGATTGGTACAGATGGAAATCCAACGGATAAATCGCTTATAGAGTCGAGATTATATGTAGTGTATAGGCTCAAGAGAGCTATGAATACCTTGAAAACAGCTGTTCCGTAGATACGATAATTCTTAAATGAACTATCATAGTCCAGAAAAAGCTAATTTTTGCATTTTGACTAGAACCTTAAAGTTTATTTCTATGTAAAGTTTCAAGTCGAAATTCGAAAATCAGTTTTTCTGGACCAGAACATTGATCTAAAAAAAATAAGTCTATCTTCGTAGCAATAAACTAAGGACTCAAGCTCTTTTCAAGATATTCATAAATCATTTCGATCAACATAATGTCTATTGTCTCGACTCAGAAGCGAGTTATGATCAATCGGAGAACTTCCATGACAAGTAGAGATGTGCAAAACCAATGTGTGTCTCGGTTCCAGGTTGCAAGGGGGAAAAAAGTTGTCCTAACCGAATCTAAAGATTACAGTGAAATCACCGGGATCAAAAAACTTGATCCCATACATCTCTACTTGTCAAGTATTTCTCATGGTCTGTGAGAAGAGAAGGTGGAAGTGTAAGATTCTACCCTCTATATACTTGAACAATCATTTTAGATCATATTTTACAAAATTTTGTTTTTTTTTAGAAATGGTGCCGATGGTGAAGAGAAAAAAAAGAAAAAATCAAGTTCAACGAAAACAACACGTCGATCAAATCGAGAACTTGAAGAAAATCGATTAAATGATATAAATGGTGATTCAGGTGATGAATATGAACGTACAGGAAAATATCCACCACCACGTAAACGTTATGAAAAACAACCAGATTTTGTTGAAGTAACTGGTGGTACATTACATCCATATCAATTAGAAGGTTTAAATTGGTTACGTTTTTCATTTTCACAAAATACAGATGTTATACTTGCTGATGAAATGGGTCTTGGTAAAACTGTACAAACAATTGTATTTTTACAAGCATTATTAAAAGAAGGTCTTTCACGTGGACCATTTTTAATAAGTGCACCATTAGCAACAATTATTAATTGGGAACGTGAATTTGAATTTTGGGCACCAGATCTGTATGTTGTTACATATACAGGTGATAAAGAAGCAAGAGCTGTTATTCGTAAACATGAATTTTCATTTGAAGGTAAGAAAAAAAGAAAAAAAAACGAAATTATAAATTGTATTTTTAAATATACATTAAAAATTTTTTAAAGATGATGCTATACGTGCTGGTCCACGTGCAAGTCGTGTAAGAAGTGGTGCTAAAGTTAAATTTCATGCATTATTAACATCATATGAATTAGTTAGTGTTGATTCAGCAACATTATCATCAGTTGATTGGGCTGTATTAATTATTGATGAAGCTCATCGTTTAAAAAATAATCAATCAAGATTTTTTCGTACATTATTTGAATTTAATATTGGTTATAAAGTTCTTCTAACTGGTAAGATGATGATGATGATAATAAACAAAAAAAAAAAAAATCATTATTTTCTTATTTTTTAAGGTACACCATTACAAAATAATCTTGAAGAATTATATCATTTATTAAATTTTTTACAACCAGAAAAATTTAGTGATATGGATGGTTTTCTTAAAGAATTTAGTGATTTAGCTAAAGATGAACAAGTTGCTAAATTACATGATATATTAGGTTCACATATGTTACGTCGTTTAAAAGCTGATGTTTTAAAAAATATGCCAACAAAATCAGAATTTATTGTACGTGTTGAATTAAGTCCTATACAAAAAAAATATTATCGTGCTATATTAACAAAAAATTTTGATGCTTTAAATGTTAAAGGTGGTGGTGGACAAGTATCATTATTAAATATTGTTATGGAATTAAAAAAATGTTCAAATCATCCATATTTATTACCAGCTGGACATTTTGAAGCACCACGTACACCTAATTTAGCATATGAAGGTTCAGCTTTAATAAAAGCATGTGGAAAATTAGATTTATTATCTAAAATGTTAAGAATATTAAAAGATCAAGGACATCGTGTTTTAATATTTTCACAAATGACAAGAATGTTAGATATACTTGAAGATTTTCTTGAATATTTAGGTTATAAATATGAACGTATGGATGGTAAAACAGGTGGACCTGACAGACAAGATGCTATTGATCGTTTTAATGCACCGGGTGCTGAACAATTTTGTTTTTTACTTTCAACACGTTCAGGTGGTTTAGGTATTAATTTAGCTACAGCTGACACAGTTATTATTTATGATAGTGATTGGAATCCACATAATGATATACAAGTAAGAAATTTAATTTAATAAATAAAATTTAGACATAAACTTGTAATAATTAGAATAGATCAAAGATAAAATTTGATTTAACTGAAATAATTTTCTATTTGAAGAAGTACTTGTCTAACTTTTATTGGTAGATTTTCGGGAAATGAAGATTCCAAAAACCAATTATCTGAATTCTATAGAAAATATTTTGCAAACAAGTTCATTGAGTAAAGAAAAAATTTCTGAAGAAAATAAGATATCCCTGAGATCAAGAGGACGATACCTCTCTAAAAACCAGCTAAGCTATCCACAATCTATCTTTAGCGAACTGCAATCATTGTGTGATAAACATAAAAAGCTATTGTGATTGAAAATTTACTGTCTTTTTACACTTGTTTGTCATATGTTTATGATAGAACTCAGAAAAACCGGTTTCAGAAGTCTTGATTTTCCAGAGACTTGCACCCAAACTTATTAATAGGAATTCAAGAAGTATCACTCTCGATAGGAAATTCTTTGAGTTAATTAAATCTTCGAATTTGTTCTAGCTGTAAAAAGTAAAAAAATGTTGCGTTTTGTAAACTTTTTGCCTCCACTTTATAATCAAGTGTTGTAGAAATGCTAAAGGAAAAATAAAATTTTTTTTTGTATTACATTTACAGGTAATGCTCGAGATCGAAGAATATCGCACAGTTTTTAATTGCAAATAACTTTTGATAGAGTCAGTTAATAGTCTTCTAAAAAATACTGATAACTATGAAGATGATACAGAAGTTTAATTCTCAGAAATACACTAAATTCATATCGTCTAATGTTGTATCTATAGTTCTTAAACGGATCATGATAGAAAAAAGAATTAAGTTTCAGTGTCATCTTCATAGAACTATCAGTATTTTTCTGAAGTTTATTGAATGATGATTTATTCATTAGTCAGTATTGTTAAATCATATTTATCTATATCAAGTATTATTAAAGCTTAACACAATCTACTGTTTTTCATCGACGTATGTACCCAATTCTAGACTCCTATGAGCATAAATCCACATTTTTTTTTGCTGTCTTTGCAAAAACTTTCGGTAACTAAAGGATTAAAATCATACAATCGATAGTCCGAGTACCATCTTGTCCATATTATATATTTATATTAGTATGAGATAAAAAAAAAACAAAAATTCAAATCTATGATTTTACTTCTAGGCTCTATCACGTGCTCATCGTATTGGTCAACAAAATAAAGTAATGATATATCGTTTTGTTACACGTGATACAGTTGAAGAACGTATAACACAAGTTGCAAAGAAAAAAATGATGTTAACACATTTAGTTGTACGACCAGGTGTTGGTCGTGGTCCAAATATGAGTAAAAAAGAATTAGATGATATATTACGTTTTGGCACAGAAGATTTATTTAAAGATGATGATGAAGTTGTTGGTAATGGTGATGGTGGTGAAGGTAGTGGTTCAAAAATTCATTATGATGATCAAGCTATTGAAAAATTACTTGATCGTTCACAAGAAGGTATACAAGAAAAAGAAGATGGTCTTAATGAATATTTATCAAGTTTTAAAGTTGCATCATATGTAACACGTGAAACAAATGATGATGAAGATGAAGATTTTCGTGAACCACCACCATCATCAACAACAATTGAAGAAAATATGGATCCAAATTATTGGGAAAAATTATTACGTATGCAATTTGAACAAGAAAGAGAATTAGAAAGTCATGCATATGGTAAAGGTAAACGTTTAAAACGTCAAGTTAATTATGCTGTACCAAATAATGATGAAAATTGGAATGAACCTAATTCAGATATAGCTAGTGAATATGATGCACCATCAGCTGGTGGTGATGATGAAGATGTTGATTTTGATGAAACACCTGATCGTCGACGTAAAACAGGACGTGATCGTCCATTACCACCATTATTATCAAAATCTGGTCCAAATATTGAAATATTAGGTTTTAATCCAAGACAACGTAAAGCATTTTTAAATGCAATTATGCGTTTTGGTATACCACCACCAGATGCATTTAAATCACAATGGTTAGTACGTGATTTACGTTGTAAATCAGAAAAAGAATTTCGTGCATATGTTTCATTATTTATGAAACATTTATGTGAAAATACAGGTGAAAATTCTGAAACATTTTCTGATGGTGTACCACGTGAAGGTTTATCACGACATCATGTTTTATCACGTATTGGTATAATGTCATTAATAAGAAAAAAAGTACAAGAATTTGAAAATATAAATGGTTTATGGTCAATGCCTGATCAAGCACCAATTAATGATAATCAAAATGATTTAATTGATGATATTAAACAGATAAATGATAAATTATTAACAAATAATGAGAATGTTCAATTAATTGAATCAAATGAAACATTAACAACAGTTAGTTCAAGTAATCATTTAATTGGAGAATCAATGAGTTTAAGTGATTTAATTAATAATAAAATTGAACAAAATGATATTGAAATGAAAGATAATACAAATAATAATAATAATAATGATGATGAGAAATTAAATAATGATAAACAATCAAATGGTAAGTTACATATAATTTATTTTACTCTAATTAAATACATATAAAGAATTTTCATAAGAAATTTATACATTCAAAGTAGTTCTTAGAAATCTAGACAAAAAAAAAAGAGCTGGTCAATGCAGCCACTATAAGACTAAAATATGAAACTCACATGTGTTCTTTAGCTTCATTAACGGATATCCTATAAGTTATGTATCTCAATGAAAATTAGTTTATATGTTACATCAAATGTCAACACACACTATAATACATTTTGACAAGTTCACTAAGGTCAATATTGATTATTTCTATAAGTAAAGACTTGATTAGATCTATAACAGTTAGTCGCAATATTGAAAAATAAAATCTGCAAAAGAAATTTTGAATGAACACTTCTAATTCAACATAAATTCTTATCAAGTGAGTAAGTAGTCATTATTTTATTCGACAATGAATATAGATTTTTATCTTTTTTGTAATATTTCAAAAAAATTTAATATATAAATATCAACATTAAATTATCTAATAAAATTCTAATTTATATTTATTTTTCTATAGACGAAAAATCTGATACAACAAATCTTCCTATTGAAAATACTAAATCAACAACTAATAATCGTAAATCTCAATTTATTCGTAGTGAAAAATTAAAAGATTTTAAATTTATGTTTAATATTGCTGATGGTGGTTTTACTGAACTTCATTCATTATGGTTAAATGAACAACGTGCATTAATACCAAATCATGAACATGAAATTTGGCATCGTCGTCATGATTATTGGTTATTAGCTGGTGTTGTAACACATGGTTATTCACGTTGGCAAGATATACAAATTGATCAAAAATTTTCTATTATTAATGAACCATTTAAAATGGATATGGCTAAAGGAAATTTTCTTGAAATGAAAAATAAATTTCTTGCACGTCGATTTAAATTACTTGAACAAGCACTTGTTATTGAAGAACAATTACGTCGTGCAGCATTCTTAGGTTTAGCTATGGAACAAACAAATCCAGCATTAACACTTTCACAACGTTTTAGTGAAGTTGAATGTTTAGCTGAATGTCATCAACATTTATCAAAAGAATCATTAGCAGGAAATAAACCAGCTAATGCTGTACTTAATAAAGGTATTTAATCAATTAGAATTATCTAGAGAACCTGAAATTATGAATTGAGAATTAGAGTCCATCGAATTCGACAGCGATCCAACGAGTTATAGTCTAAGAGTAGCAGCCAATTATGAGATTATCTGACGAGGGGAGTTCTTCGACTGTTCAACTAGAAGTTATATGCACTATGTAGAGCCAAATGAGCTATGAAGATTAGGAAGCTGCGGATCCTCCAGACCCGGACTCGGTCGGGTTCAAAGTTTTATTATTATTATTTTTTGTTGGATCCGCTGCTCCCCAGATGAAAAACCCAGCAATAAGATATGACTGTACGTTGAGTTTTTTTTCTGAGAGTAATGAATAAATAGCTGAAACTTTGATCCTTTACTTTTTTATGTGCACGAGCGGTGACAGGTATTGATGGAAAAAACTTCGGATTTGGACTCAGTCGAGTCTGGATCCACGTCTCATGGAGATACTGAACTTTTACAGCAGTTTTTAAATGAATGCTGTGGTAACAGAAAAATCGAATTTCGACTTGAAATTTTGCATAGAAACAGATCTTAACGAGAACAGTTTATTGTGAATATTTCAGATCTTGTCGGTGCTCATATCGTAAAATACAATTATGATAATAGCCTATCTTTTTACATCATTCCTATAAACTAAAAATGCAGTACCTCCATAGCAATAAGCAAAGAGTATTTATAACTCATTTGACTGTATATAATGCACATAGGCTCGACTTAAAAGCAATTGAACACTTGAAGGACTTCCTTATACCAGGATCAGACTAAAAAGAATTCGTTCAAATTAGAAGTATGGATTGAAAAAAGTTTTATTAAAAGAGATCGGATATACAAGTTTTGAATCCGATGGAATCTACTGAGGATAAGGATGAGAACTGACTGAGTCCGAATCAATGATTCCGCCAATTGGCTATGTTCGAAAGCGCAGCAATTTAAACATCTTATTCCTACTACTATTTTCCGATCATAGAATTCTGAACTGAAAACCTTTGTTTTTTTTAAATTTTAGTTCTTACACAATTAGAAGAATTATTAAGTGATATGAAACAAGAAATAAATAAATTACCAGCAACATTAGCTCGACTTCCACCTGTTTCTCAACGACTTAATATGTCAGAAAGAAATATTCTATCTCGATTACAAAATGGTCAAAATCAACAATCATCAACTTCACCACCGGCAACAACAACAACAACAACAACAACAAATGGAAATTGTTATGCTTATACAAATTATTCAAATTTTATTGGTCCATTTGCTTTACCAGCAGCTAATAATACTAAAACAAGTAGTTTGAATTTTTATTTTTTTTATTGATTTTCATTTTCAATGATTAAAAATAATACTAAAACTTTGGTTTTTTTTTTCCTTACTCATCAAAGTTTAAGTTTGAGTGTAAAAATAAAAGATAAAACAAACAAAATTTACTTGTAGCACAACTGTTGAAAAGCATAACATTAAAATTGATATCTTTTTTTAAAAAAAAAAAAAAAGATAAATGATGTTCTTACTTAGTTTTCAATCTGACTATGCTCGTAAAAAATGTTTGTTTTCTTTTATTTGATAAACAATGCGAAAGAATGTATTGAATAAATGAGAAAATGAAAATCTTTGTTTTTTTTTTTTTTTCAATATTTAAATATCTTATTTGTATATATAGCTACTAATTCATCAAACAATGTTTCAGCTACTACATCAACAACATCAGTTGATTCATCATCATCATCAACAACAACAACAACAACAACACAAAAATCTTCAACATTAAATCTCATTCAATAGAATTTTGTTTAGATAATCTCATTGAAATAAATATCCCGATCTTGTTTGTCTGTGTTTAGGTCTGTAAAACAAATAACTTGTATATGTACACATGTCCTTTTTTCTCTTTTTTTTTGTTCTTCTTTTTTTCGTCAATTATTATTATTATTAGTTGCTACTTTCTTTTTTTCTCTTCTTTTTTTGTTGTTATGTGTTCAACAAATTTACATATGCGTGACATATAAATATTAAAAAGTATATAGACATACAAGATCAATTTAGATTTATTTGAAGTGACACATATTCAATCATAGTCTTTGATAATTGTAAAAAATATTATTTCATAGATGAGATAATATAGGATAGAAATTCGGATGATAAAATCAAATGCTGAGTTTTTGGATGTTGACAAAATTCTTTGATTAGATGATATCGAGTAAATATATTTATTAACGATCTCTCAGTTGCTCTTTACAAAAAAAGTCCATTTCCGTAAGATTAATCGAAAGAAGATAAATATATGTAGAGATAGCTTGAGGTCACATCCAATGATTTCCGTTACCTTCTGCTTGAACAATATGTTCTTTGTTTTTTTTTTAGGAAAAAACAGAAAATCTTTTTCATTATTTTTCTGCTTTTCTGAATGTGCATTCCAGAATTTTCGAACAAGTTTTATTGTTGCCAATTGCTATTTTGTGTTCCTGTTTGAAAGCACATGTGAAAATGCAATGCCTAAACAGAATCCGGTTTTCTTTTTGAATTAAGCTTTTATTATTATTATATAAAAATATACTTCTATAAATCGATAATCATTTTTCGAGGTGTTATTCTTCTATCTCCGGATGAGTAAGAATTTATTAAAAGGAGAGTACAGCAATCTAACTATACACAAAAAAATAAGCTTCTTTTGATCATTGTTTGATGAATATCACCTGCAAATATGATCTAATGAAAATGCGATTGTTTTTTTTTTCGAATTTTATAGAGAATTTTATTTCCAATAAGAATTATTAAAGATGAGCTCAAAAATTATGCTTCCATATGAAATAACAGAAAGAAAAAACGAATTTGATGTCTTCTGTAAGATTAATGAATGAATAAAATTTTCAATTATAATAAGTATCGACAAAGGTTTTGTCTATTGTATGTTAAATGAAATAATCAAAACATAGGATGTTACAAATAAATTCTTATGAAATTAGTTTTAAAAAAAACAAACTTGATAATTGAATTTTTAATGAATAATTTTCGAAGGTGTGAGTGTGGGTATGTACTTAAGTGAGATTTTTTACTCACTCACACCCACAGTTTGTTTAGTATAAACATGATGAAACTTAATACATTTAGATTGTATACTAATTAGTTGATTTCATTAGTTTCAACAGATTATTTTTCAATATTGAAGATGTAACAGGAGACACTTGTAATATTGTTCGAACAATTATAGAATATCCGAATGAAGAGAGAACATATGAAGCATCATGTTTATTTTAATTATATTTATCACTTTAGAAATTTTGTGCTCAATGAATGAATTACATCATTATTTCATTGATATGATTAAAAGCAATTTCATATTCGATTAAATTGTCATCGACTGAATAGATTTCGAGGGACCAATTTCTATCTTTTATTGTATATTATCACTAATGATAGATTATATTTTTATCATAATGATAAAAATATAATAGACTAGTCGAATGCTGAATCGTTATAAACTAATTCAGACAAAATGAAATGTGCCAATTTGTTTTCAAGTTCATATCATTATGATCTAGTCAACAAAAGTTAATCTGTCAATAGCTAGTTTTCATATCGTATCAACAGAGAAATAAAAGATCAGTCTTTAAGATTTGAGTCTTCATCATGAAAATGCAATACTACGAAAAGCATGGAATATCAACGGATTTTTTGACAGAACATCATAAGAAATCACATCCAAATGGTCTCACAAAAGACGATCGACCTAGTTTAATCGAATGCACAAGTGTATTGTTCATAAAGAGCAATATTTTGAAAATCAACACTATCGAAAAGTTGTCTAAACAACTAGCAAAAAAAAAAAAAGAACTGTTGAAGTGCTCCTTGTATATTATATGAATTTGTTTTTTTTTTCATTATGTAGTTTATTCGAAATACAACATATGATTAGTTTATTATGCAATGAAATCTTTGAAAAATATTTAACCATATTTAAATAGCTGAGCTTGATGATTATCGTCTTCTTTATTATGACCTAAATTAATAAAAAAAAAAAAAATAATAAGTTATTGAAGTCATTATTATTATTATTATTATTTTGTTTTTTGTACTAACCATAGGCACATAATGAAGATTGAAATGGTAATGGTCGAAGTTGAAAACGATAGTCACATAGAGCTGGATTACGTTTATTTACCCATGGAGATATTTGAAGTCGATTGACTAATGAAGGCAATGCCATATTATAATAATTTTGCAATTCATTATCTCCATTTATAATTGGTAAAGGCATAACAAAAAGAAGAGATATATTGATCAATAGAAACATAGAAACAATAACTGAATGCATATTTTTTGGATTAAATTTGAATCTTTGATGATAACAAAAAAAAAAAAAACGAAACAAACTTTTCTGAAAACTTTCAATATTGATCTCAATCTTACCAGTTAGTGATCAATAGTTTACTGAACAAGTTAATTCTATCTGTAAACTAACTAACAAAATTCTGACTCTATATAATCCTAGACTAACAGTAATCAGTACTAAAATTTGATTGAGATGACGTTTAATAACTCTTATAATCGATGTAGGTGTGGATTAGATCATATTAACAAAAGAAAAGAAAAGAAAAAAAAAATTTTTTTTTGCTAGTTGCATGTGAGCAGTTGATTGCCTTTTTCTTGTTTTATATTCTTATTTCCATCACTTGTCTGTTACTGAACACGCACACATTATGCATGTCATTCTAGATTTATTAGAGCAAAAAAAAGAAAAAGAAAATTTTCACTTATGGATATTTTTTTTATTATTATTTTATTTATTCTTTTTTATCATCCCCATCGCATAACATGATCACCATTATGCTGTTCTTCAAGTTTCGATGGTTTGAAATGTTGATAAGTTGATACACGAAACCATGCATTACGATTTGTACGAGGATAATATAATGGTGAACGTTGATATCGATTAAATGATAAAAATTTTGGTGATAAAATTCCTTCTATATTTTCTTCATCAATATCGATCATATCAGAATATTGATCATTAAAATAATTTGAAATATCATTTCGATGAAATATTGGAGAACATGAAATAAATGAAGCAAGAAATAAGAATGAAATAAGTCCAAATGATAATAAAAAATATTTTGACATCTAAACAAATAAACAAACAAACAAAAAATATATTGTTTTCTAAAGAATAGAAAAAAAATGATTTTGATTGTAATGTTTTTATATAATATATTTTATTTTATAACGGAAATAATACAGGAAAAAGAATTAGTGTAATGTATAATATCAATTGAAATTCCATGTGCGTATATAATTAATTAATCTATTGTGAAAATAATGTTGAAATTAACTCGGAAATGAGTTACAATATAATAAAAAACAATATATGATTTCAATCTTATTACATATTACTATGTTCGTAATAAGAATTTATTCATATTTATCTCTCCTTCACACATATACAATCAACCATAATAATTATATTTACTGATTTAATATAATTAAAAATCTTAATATTCTATATATATCTATGGAATATTAAAATTCATTAAATTCATTTTCATATTGATTTTTTGCAGTAAATTTAAGTATTGTTTCATTTTCATATTGATCTTTAATAATATATTTACGAATAGGAATAAATGGAGCAATATATTTTTGTTGATATAATATCCAAAAATTAATTTGATTAAACCAAGGATGTTCAATAATATCAAGAGTACCACGTATACCACAACCAAGACGTTTTTCAATATTATATTGAAGTAAATTACGTATAATTGATACACAATTTCTAGTTACATGTTTAAGATTCATTGTTGCACAACCATTAATTATACGAAGATACCTAGAATATATCTAAGTTGTATGAATTTTATTTCTATCTAAGAATCAAAATTTCATCTCGATGTGATTCAATACAATGAATATTTTCTTCAATGTTTGCAGCTAGATTATAAGATATGAACGATGTTTTCTATGTGTAATGACCTATCCCAAAAGACATCATATACAAGCTCTTCCATCGTATATTAGAACATAAAATCATACGCATCAGAGATAAGAAAAATCTTCTAAGACAAATCTCAATAGGAAATGAATAATTTCTATTGCATTTCCATTTTCTATATTATCGAGATTATTTAATTATAATTTTTATATGATACAATCCTCACAGCATTTTACTCTATGAATGATTTAATATATAATAAATTTTCATTGCAAAAATAGATCAATCGAATGAAATATTCAAAAAAGATTTTTTTTTTTTTTTTTTTTTTTGTATTTACAGACACTTTCTATTATGAATAATATCAAAGAAAAAGAAAAAGACATACGCATACTAAGTATTATAATTGAAATATTGGCTCTTATTTCAACTATAATCATACATCATTCTTCTCTGATTCTTTTCAAACATAATAACAATTCTCAATGGAATTTTAATGTGTCTGCTTTCATTTTAAATTCCATTGTTTTCTGAATTCATCATAGTTTTTCTAAGGTTATTTAGAATATAAAAATCATGTATAATGTCAACACTAATAATAAAAACAATGCCCGGAACGTTCTATAAAATGACTTTTTTTTTTACATGTTATAATGCTTTGATGACGATTGAATAGTATCCGATGTGTCATTTTCAATTGTACTCTTCGATCGATAATCATATTCATATTCAATTGATTCAGTTTCATTTGTATTTGATTCTATTCTATATGTTCGATCATAAGGTGCATCACCAGTTACCATTTCATGTATAATTATACCTAATGTCCAATAATCAGGTGATACTGTATATGGACGATGCATGATTACTTCAGGTGCTGAATGAATACAAAAGCAAAATAGGCATAACCTTTGTGTAAAAAGTCTTTGCATAATATATCTAATCAATTTTCTAAGTTACTGAAGAGAAACAAAAGTAATCAGCGAGAATCAGAATTTCATACTTTTTAGAACTGTATATTGAGAGTTTTTTTTCTAACTTGAAGTTAGTTCATTGAGAATAAACCTCTGATGACAAAGGCAAAAAATGGCGCCTATGCAAAATTTTTTTTTGTAGTTCAATTTTGTATTTTGATAAAAAATCTATTTCAATTCAAACTATAAGAAAGTAATTGTATAGATTAGGTTGTTGAGTGAGGCCTGTTGTGCAAAATATCTACATTCGTTTTCCATTTTAGATATTGCTAATGTACCACTAATACAAAATTCCAATGAATTTCTTTTCTTGTTCATTTATATATGGTTCGATAGAGCTTCTTGTGCTGAGTCGGAACGACTTTTCGCGATTCCTGTAATACTTTCAGAATTCTTATCATAATTTTATTTTTCATGATCAGATATGCAACGTTGTGGCAAAGTCTGGAAACCCACACACGAATCGTACAAGATCTTCTGATGAGATTGTTTGATTTGGGATTCGCAATTATGTACTGACTTTTGTTTTTTTAACAGAAGCTATCAAATTTCGATCACATTAGTTTTTTAAACTGTATGAAAACATTTTATTTTAATTCCACATTATTAAGTTTTTTTAGATTTTGTTTTATTCTTGAGAAGATGGAATTCTTTTCCCTAGTTGGTGGTAACATTATTAAAAAGCGAAACAAATAGCAGATTCTGAATTAGCATCAGAAACTACATCCAATCATATATGTTTTAGTATAAACAGTTTCCGATGGAAAATACACTTGTGATCTCGTCAGACCTATTTTTCTGAAATTCTACCCCCAATCCTCCATACTGACGATTTTTTGCAGAAAAGTAAAAGATTCTCAAAATATATACATATATGACTCGATGCAATTTTTGCCAGTTATTCCGAATCTGTTATCTGTTTCGCTATTCAATTATGTTATTACCAAATGAGAAATTCTATTTTCTCAACAATAAAACAAAATCTTAAAAAACTACATAGAACGATCATCAAATTCTGGTTCTAACTGACTCCTTTTGAGCTTCTTCAATAACATCGAGATCTCCGAAAAAAATTACCAAATATATTCACCAATACCGTTTAAACTAGTGTTTTGTGTAAACGTCAGTTTTGTCTGTCATAAAAGATTTGTTCTTAATAAATTAACTTTCAACGAGAAAAAATATTCTTAATATATAGTTAGAGAGAGAGTATAAAAATTCTGATTCTTTTCAGTGACTTAGAAATAGGCAAAAATTGTTTAGACATGTTGCGCAGAGGCTTTTAATATGTAGGTTAATTACGTATAGAAGTTAGAAAAAGAAAAAGATAAATACCAATATAATGTGGAGTACCACAAAATGTTTTACTATAACCACGAATAATTTTTGCTAAACCAAGATCAATTAATTTAATATAACCACGTTGTGTTAATACGATATTTTCAGGTTTAAGATCACGAAAGACAACTTTGCACTAAAATATAAAAACAAAACAAGAAAAAAAAAATTTCTAAATTATGCTTTAAGATTTTTCTATCAAAGTTATTTATGATGTTTATCAACAAGTTAGATATCTTTTATTCTAGCTGCGACGCCATAGAGAAGCAAAGACTAGTCCTTCAACTGATTAATCGCTTTTAAATTGGAATTATATGCATCATGCAGACACTAATAGATTGTAAATACCCCGAAAGGAGCTCGGGGCTCATTGGTTATTGCTACCAATATATTGCATCTTTTCCATATTTTTTAATAGAATATCATGGTCCTTCTCAAGAACACTAGGAAAACTGATATCCAAATTTTGATTTGAAACTTTGCATAGAAACAAGCCTTGGCAAGAATAGTTTATTATGAAAGTTTCAGACATTTTCATTATTCATATTCATAGGCAGATTTGATGTTCTTATATCAGAATAGGAACAGATCGAATAGCCTGGTATTCTCACGAGTAACTATTGTGCTTAAGACTTGATTCTATGCAAAGTTTCAAGGCGAAATTTGAAAATCAGTTTTTCCTATGTTTCTGAGGATAATACAATATGTCGGCAGCAGTAAGCTATGAGCCCGAACTCCTCTCGGGAGATTCATAGTCGATTTAGGTCTACATGATACACAGGCTTTCGGTTCAAAAACGATTAATCAGTTAGAAAACTTCCGTCGTGAGCCTTCTCCCTAACTTAAAATCCTGGTGCCACCGCTCCTTTATTCCTGTTTTGCTTGCATAAGATAAAAAAACAGGTGCAAAAATAAATGTTTATTTCATCTCTGGTTGTTTATAAATTATTGAAAACAATCAAAATTGATCAATTCAAGTTGATTTCCTATGAGTAAATGCTTGATTTGACAGAAAACGAAATTTCTACAGTATTCTATTTAATCTTATAATTAAAAATAACTTCAATTTTAAACTATAGAAAGCAGAGTCCTAACCAGATTATGATCTTTAGATTTGATCTCTGCACTTTTTTCTTTCCTTAGTGTAATGTACTGTGCTGAAGGTACCCGTCTACTAGGTCTGTTGTCAGCAAGGTACCTGCCCAGTTTCTAATATGAATTTCAATATTTATCATTACTTGCTCGTCGTCTCGTTTTTTCGTTTTCAATTAATTCAGCTTACGTTTAATGATCTCTTTTTCTACTACAGATTTAGCAGGTTTTTTTTTCTTCTTAAGATTATTGTCTTTTTATTTCTTAATTTTTCTACATATCATCTCTGTTCAATTCATAAATGTTCAATCTACTATCAAATCTTCTATTGTAAACGTCTCTACAATCTGAACAATTCTTTATAGTGAACTGTGCACGACTTTTTCTTTGACTTCTAACAACCTTCCTAAAGTAAACATTTGTTGGTTCCCTTCTGTTCTCTTATATACATAAGAATAAAACACTTCTATGTATTTCCTTGGAAGTTCACATTAGAGAGTTTTTACTGTATGCTTCTTAAATTGATTATTGTGACTTCTATGCTATCGTTATCATGATAATGACATGAAAAAGAAATAGAGAGAGATCGTTAGATACAAGTCAAATCAGCGTTAGAAAATGCTTTTTATTTCATTCTCATATGATAATTTTAGAAAAAAAAAAAAATTATTGAATACCCCATGTAAATAATCAAGAGCCATAACGATTTGTGCTGAATAAAATTTTGCTTGAAGTTCAGTTAATTGTTGATAACTCATTAATGAATATAAATCTCCACCTTGTAACCATTCGAATACTAAATAAACATATTCATTATCTTTAAAACTTGTTATAAGTTGAACCTATTTTTAAAAATTTTATAATCAATAATTTTATTTGACTATAATTTATATGTGATAAAAGTAAAATAGATGAAATAAGTCAGTAAATAAAATACTTAAAAGAAAAAACATCAATAAATTACTTAAATGATCAGTTATTAATTAATTAGATAGGAATTTAAATGATCAAAGATACTTAGAGAAACAAAAAATTGGTTCAATTTCGAAAAACTTATTTTGACAATAGCTTCAAATATTGTCGGACCAATTGAACAAGATCCTTCTTCAATCAACGCAAAAATAATTGCCACACAACCAACGATTAGCAAAAGATATAATTGATATTCCAAATGATTCTTCAAAAAAAAAAAAGCTGTTAGCTCAATCCATATGGGATTAAAATATGAAACACAATGTAGCTGCTGTCCCTAATCACAGGGAGATTGTTTTATTCTATCTATTTTAGGACACATTTCTCCATTATCATTTTACTTAATCCTTCAAAAATGCAATAACGAAATAGATCATTCATTATAACGAGACATTATTCATATACAGTCTATCATCGTATTCCACAGATTGTGTTTCACTAAAAAAAGAAAACTATATATCAGCTCGTGATTTACAATCGATTATAAAATGAAAATGAGAAATTGTTCAAATTAGAAAATATCAATATGCAAGTCACTATGAATATTTGTTCAATTCTTTATCGTTCGTTGAGTCATTTTTGACTCATTCATAGAAACTATCGATTTGAAGTCATTTAGTATCAGATCGAACCGATTCCCGAACATAGTGTAGAGTCTTCAATAAGTTCGAAATTCATAAAAAAAATTAAATTTCTTTTTATCATTTCTTGATGAAGACTTATGAGTTGGAAAACGGTATTTTTACATGACAACTTGGATCACTTTTGACCTATTCGTAGTGACTAATATGAAAAATGGTTTTTCTGAAATGATTTTATTTTCAATATAAAATCATAAATAATACGATCTTTATGCAAAAAACTTGATTACAACTAATAATCAATCAACAAGCATTTCACAATCGCTTAAAAAAATCTCTTATCAATAAAAGATAGAACCCTGTATCTTATGGTCTTCTATTTGGACGAGTTTTTAACAATAAGAATGGATGATTTTGAATCAAGACTAACGATACTGACACGATTATAGATATTGAAAGATCTTATTTCAACCCAAAAATAATCGCCTTTAATCATATAAAACCTTCCGAAGCTGATTAATTTTTCAAAAAATAATTCATGATAAGCAGATTTCCAACTTTATACAGACAAAACAACAACATAACTGCGAAAAAAAAATCAAATTAAAAATAAATTCAATTTTTATGTCACTTAAGACGAATAGATCATTTTTAGCCCATTCTACATCTCTAGAGTGAAATGACTTCGCCTAAATTCAATTATATTCAGCACCTGCATAGACTATTTCCATGATTGACTCAATAACAATTCTATTAGATCAGTGTCAGAGGATAAAAAGTTAAAACATTGCAAATCATCACAAGCAACAAATACAAGGTCGATCGGTGAGAAAGGAGAAGATTCTTTGAATTTTTATTGAATATTCTTATTTGTTCGATGGCTTACTATGGCTAACTTTAGTACTGATCATTTCATCTATTTTACTGACCAAATATCTTATATCAATTTTATTTACAATATTTGGATGATGTAATGCAAATGCATATTGCCTTTCAGAAATAATTGTATTTTGTTCATTTGTTTCAATTAATATAGATTTTTTAATTGCTTTTAATGCAACATATTCATTTGTATCTATATGATAAGCAAGAAAAACTGTTCCATAACCTCCTTCACCTAATTGACGTAAAAGTTTAAATGAATCAAGTGAAAGATTATAATCAGCTCTTAAACGTTTTGTTAAAAGTTTATTAAATGTATCAATTCTATATTGACGTTCTTGTAAATATTCATTTAATTCATTGAATTTTGATTCAATTATTGAAACAAAATAAAAACGTGATCGATGTTTAATTGATCCTACTTTTTGTTGTTTCGTAATATAGAATTGTTTATCAAAAGCAATTGACTTTACATAGGTTATATCAGATATTATATCATGATGTTGTTTCAACAATGAACTCATATCATGAAATTAAGATTTCATTTTACAAAGTTTACTAATCGAAAAAACAAACAAACAAATGATAAGAAAATTATTCTTTAGTAACTATGTTAGTTGTTTTTTTTTGTTATAGAGCGCTGAACGACGATATCTGGTATTAGTCTGTTCTACATTATTTATTCATATAACCACATCAAAACATTCTGTGGTAGAATTTTTTCTTCTGCCTATTCTTTTTATATGTATGTCTAATTGTACAATCTCTTACTAATGGTATGAATATCGAAAGAAAAAAAAAGCCAAGTTTATGCAATAACAAGACAACCCTATTACTCATCAATGACTGGAAAGATTATTTATGTTTTTTTCGAGAATTTTCTTTATCCATCATCACACCCACTCGTATGAAGAAAATACGAAGGATATTATTTTTGCTTAGTTAAGTAGATTAGTATACGGAGATATGCTCGTATGTAATATGTCTAAATGAAGGCAAAATCGTCTTTTTTTTTTGTATAATCGTCGTTGTCGTCCTTTTTTCTCTTCTCGCTTTCTTCTGTATTGGTTAGAGACTTATCAATATATCATCGCTGTTGTCGTACCAAACGGCCATCGTTCTCTCGTCTAACCGCAAACGTACAAAATAATATCTTAAGTAACAAGAACGAAAGAAGAAGAAAGAACAAACAACATATCTACTCATTAACGTTGATAATAAACGATGGCTATTCGTGGTTTTTTAACATTATTTATTTTAGCAATTTTCTATTCAACAGTTACAGGTCAAGCTAAAACATGTGAACCATGTGATTCATCGAAATGTCCATTAGTAAATATTCTTCATTTTTGTTTTAATATTTTTGTTTTTTCTAAAATAATATTTATAGACTTCGGACAAAGAATGTATTGCTGGATTGACACTCGACAGATGTGGTTGTTGTCAAGTTTGTGCTCAACGTGAAGTTCGTAGATTATTTATATAGATGATATATATATATATTTATATTTATTTTATGAATAGAATGAGCTATGTAATCATCCTGAAATCCCATCAAGCAAACAATATGAAGCATGTGGTGAAAATCTTCAATGCAAGTACGTATCAAATATCTAACAGTTGTTGCAAAAATTCTTCGGACAAATGTTCTTCGATTTGTCATCTGCAAAAAACAGGTTTCGGAAAAACACAAAAAATCTACGTTGAAAGAACTTTCTAACTACGTGTTCAAAATTTTTTAAACATGCCTTGGTTTTGAGTAACAAATACATATTTAAACGATACCATCGTTTGATTCTCTACAAACCAGGCAGAAAATATTATAATATTGTAATGAAAGTTTTTCGAGATTTGAGTTATATCATTTCATTACAATATTAATATATCGAAACTTATAGATTACCAATATATAATAAAGATAACTGCAAACATCGAAACATGAAACAATACAAAATAATCATCTATCTTCAAAACGTCAAGAGCTGTGCCTTTAAGTCTTTCTTTTGCCAATAAGTAGGTCACGACGAGACTAGTAGAAGTTTATAAAGATTCGTCCCCATGCGCTATCCTTGCCAAATTATTACAATTTTATCTCGCACAAGATATTTGTGAAAAAATTGAAGTAAGAAATTTCAACCTGAAATTTTGCTCATAGGGTAAGTTTCATGGATCTTAGAATATATTAAAAATTTCAGTCTGAAAGGGATATGTTCTTCTTTCAAAAACAAACATGTGGCACAAGGAAAGGTAAGAAAGTCCAGTATTTTTAACATTCTATATTTCAGTAACGACACATTCCTGTAGGCTGAACTTTTCAGGTTGAAAGTTCATACTTCGATTATTTCATCAATACCTTGCTAGAGATTAAAAAAATTAAGTAAAATTGTAATAACTTGCCAAGGATTTTCTTTTGTAAGACAATGTCAGAATATTTTTTGCATAGAGTTGAATAGAAAATTTATTGTAAGAAAAAAAAGCGACACAATCTGATGCAACCAACACGATATAAAAAAAATTTGCTTTTCCTCGGAGTCGTTACGAGTTGTTTTTCAACATATTTTTGTTTTTTTTTCTTTTAAACACATAGAGTTCGTGTGAATACTCGTGGAGGACCACCTGAAGCACGATGTGAATGTAATGATCAAACAGAAATGTGTGGGTAAGTTAAATTAATGAATTGTTCTTGAAGTATTGATAATAATGTTTAAAAATACAAAACAAATAGTTCGGATGGAAAAACTTATCGTAACTATTGTCATTTAATGGAATCAAGTAAACTTGCTAAAATCGAACAAAAACCAATTATTAAAGTATTTAAACGTAAACCATGTGATTCAGGTAAAAAATAAAAGATATTTATCTCATCTTGTTTAAATCTATTGTTTTATTTCTAGTACCTGAAATTACTCTTCCACCTGTAAGCGTATCAAATAAAACAAACACTAATGTATTTTTAACATGTGAAGTTGCGGGTGTTCCATTACCTGTTGTTGAATGGGTATATCGATCATCTGCTGGAAAACAAATTGTTTATCCAAGTAAGATGATAGATAATAAAAGATTAGATATATATACATATAGAATTATATAGCTGATGATGATCGTGTATCAACATTGGTTCGCGGTGGACCAAATGCTCATGTTGTAACATCATGGCTTCAAATTCAATCTTTACAACGAAGTGATGAAGGTACATATACATGTGTTGCAAGCAATACATTAGGCAAAGTTGAAAAATCATGTACTGTTACTGTAGAAAGTAGGTGAAAAGAAAAGAAAGATGTTTTTTTTTTGGTGTATTTAATTTTTATTTTTATTTAGACGGTCGTGAATTTTAAAACAATGATAATCATTTTTTCAAAATTATTCTATAAACTGAATTCAAAACTATTTTTTATCTATAATTAATTGATTGGTTTGCAGTTAGTCACACAAACTCTTTTTTTTTATTGCTTGTCATTCAATGGGTGCTTGAGTAGACTTTTAGATGCTAGATTTTTCTGTATTATTGTCTTTTTTTATCTTTATTTATCTATTTCATTCATATTGAAATTTGAGAGAACTTTTAACTAAGGAAATATATTACGACAAAATATAATTTAACTATAAATAATCAAAGAAAATGGATGTGCCTGGAGAATGTTTATTCAAAGTCTTTTGTATTGTACTGAAATAGATCTGTAATCAAGCAAGATTATTCAGAAAGATTAATTAGGTAAAATACAAGGAGAATAATGCAGATTTTGGAAGATTTCAAGAGGTTCCAATTAAATGAAATCTGCGTACTCTAATAAATCTCAAGTTGAGAACTAAACTTAGTCTCATTTAATGCATTTTACGATGTGAATTATAAATAAAGAATGTAAAACAAGTTTTGATTCTCTCAAACAATATTCTTTTTTGAAATGTTCCAACAGTAGAAGAGATTGATATTCACAGTATACATACTAGATGTCTAGATTTATTCTAAGCTAGAATTTCAGCTTTCTATTTATTGTTATTATGAAGATACAAGTAAAGCAAAATTTACAACAAATTTGTGAATTATTTCTAGATATAATGATTGACCATAAAGAATTATAATGAAGTTCTCTACAAATCTATATATAATGTGGTTTGAAACTCGTTTTAGCTCTCGTACTATCAGCCTGGGTCATTTTTGACTCGTACTCAAAAATTTGAAAATACACTAGAAATATTTTGTTATTTCCTGATTTTTGGAAGTGACTAGCATCTCTTGTGAATTGATATATGTTGTTGAATCTAAAAAGAAATTCATTTGTTTTCTATTTCATTACAAGTCTTTAGTACAATATTATGTCTTCAATATGCAACAAACATATAACAAGAAAGAGAGGTAAGTTACACATTTAATCCACAATTGAATAAATCATCTACCATCCTAATTGGATAGCTCAAAATCACTTCAAAAAAATGTTTCTTAATAAATTGGAATAGTAAATGAGTCATTGGGTTTATAGATTGAAAATTTAAATTGTTCCCCTTTCTTGTTATATGTTGGTTGCATACTAAAGACATGATATTGTACCGAAGACTTGTAATGAAATAGAAAACAAATGAATTTCTTTTTAGATTCAACAGCATATATCAATTCGCAAGAGATGCTAGTCACTTCCAAAAATCAGGAAATAACAAAATATTTCTAGTGTATTTTCAAATTTTTGAGTACGAGTCAAAAATGACCCAGGCTGATAGTACGAGGATTAATTAAAAAAAAAATATTATAAAAATGCAGTATGTCAACAGCAATAAGCTAACTACACGAACTGTCTTCAGAGTGTTGATTCATTATTAGATTTCACATGATGCCTCTAGTTTCGAGTTAAAAGCTTTTAATTAGTTCGTCTTATTTGTGTAATGCAGTGGTCAATTTTGATTTCTCCTTCTTTCAATAAACGAGGTCCATATGAAAAAAGCACGTTTTAAAAAGATCTTTAGAGTATATAGTTGATTAAATATTAAACGGAAATATCTAGAAAACCTTGTCAATTATATAAGTCTTATGAAAAGTAAACGGCAAGAAGGATTTTGATAGTTTATTTATCACAAATCTTTGTGCAAGATAATTAACAATATTCACAGTATTTGTTAATACTTTTTGACAAGGTATTACATAACTTCTAACGTAAGCTAAATAGCAATGCATGGTAATTATGTACATCGATGATAGTTATCAGCGTTGGTATAGGTCGCGAATGGAATGCATCACATTAAACTTGAATAGAAAACAGAGTATTTGATATTTCATAAGGGGGGTGTGAGTGTGGATGTTAGTGTGGGTGTGATGAGTCTAGCTGCAAGACTAATACCCACACCCACATCCTCACCCACCCTTATCGACTGGAAAAATTTCATTCGGGATATATGTGTTGATTATTGTATCAAACATCCGTCGATGATTGGTGGTGTCGAACATATTGTTGAGATAGATGAGAGCGCTTGGACTAAGCGTAAGCACAATAAAGAGTGATTATTAAACTCTTTGATAGTTAGAATATCTATTTATTTGTATTTTATAGTCGTTCCGTCAGTATACTCAATGAGTGTTTGGTGGGATTGATCGCGACACCTACGAATACTTTGCATTACCTGTGGAGAAACGGAATGCCGCGACTTTTCTGTCAATCATACATGAATACATCTTGCCAGGAACAATCATCCTGAGTGATGAGTTGGCTGTGTACAAGAATATTTCGGCAGACTCACATAATCATCAGCACCAAACAGTAAACCACTCGTTGTACTTTGTCGATCCTGAAACTTTTGCTTGCACTCAAAATATTGAGAACATGTAGATGTGTACTAAGCAAAAAAGAACAACAAATAGGCCAACACAGTAGTCTTCTCTCAACTCATCTAGCAGAATTTATGTGGCGGCGGAAGTTTGGAGATAGACCATTAGAAAATCTTATAAAATGTGTTTGTGATTTGTACCCCGTCTTGTAGTTCTACTTTTCCTTAATAAACACTCCCCAACCTATACAGTGATACTTTTTTTGTTACACACACATATACAAGACAGCGTCATCTTTATGTGAACGTTTATGAAAGAAAGAATGTATACACCAATCATTATTTTTTCCTTCCTGTCACTGTATATTGGTGGGGTTTACACATTCTGAAGAAGCACCTTTTTCTCTACTTGGCATGTATGGTAAGAGAAGGGGTGAAATATCATTCTTTTTCATTTTATTTCTTTTCTTTTCTGCGCTGCACATGGTGTGGCTCTTTTTTTCTGTCTGTCATTATATATGTTTCTTTGCGAAGAGTAGACGCTTGGATCGTATCTACTTTCTCTCATAGACTTCTTCTTATAACATTATTACGCTATCATCACCTGATATATCTGGTGGTCATTTCGTGTTTTTATTTTCTATTTATTTTCTGCCTATCACCTGCTATTCCATTTGCATTTTCATAGTGTATTACATTCAAGCATTTGTTTATTAGTTTAGTTTGTTTGTCTTCATCGGCTATCCTCTACTGATAAACTTACTCAAGGTAATTTGCCGTGCCAATTATATGGATTCGTTTGCAGCTGGTGCTATAGCTGGCGTTAGTGAGGTTCTAACGATGTATCCACTCGATGTGGTGAAGACAAGATCTCAGTTATTTGTTGGCAAAAGCATGGGAACAATTGCCTCACTCAGCAATATTGTGAAGCAGGAAGGAGTGAGCCGCCTCTATCGTGGTATTATTCCACCAATCTTTATGGAAGCACCAAAGAGAGCTACAAAATTCGCTGCAAATGAAATGTGGGGTCGATTCTATCGAAAATTATTCGGCGTCGAGAAGATCAATCAAAGTCTAAGTATATTGACTGGAGCCAGTGCAGGAGCTACGGAATCATTCATCGTCGTACCATTTGAGTTGGTTAAAATCAGATTACAAGATAAGAAAAGTGCTCATCTCTACCTAGGTATGTCTCTATCCTGAGATTCGATTGGGTTTTTGGGTGACTCACAATTTTGGATGGATGGATCAAAAAAATAAAAGATAAAAATTAAGGAGCGACCTAACTTCAATCTAGGATTACATGTATGGGAAAACTTTCTTTCAACAATCCTGAAAAAAAGAGAAATCTTGAGTTTTATACGCAAAGATGAAGTTGAACAACCTCATAATAAGACCAAAAAAACCATGTAAAATTCAATTTTACCCAGAAAAGTCGTTTGGCTTAGTTTCAGAGAAAGTTTTCTTCTTGATCGGAAACTGAAAATAGCTTTGAAATATACTTTCCAATGTTTTTGATCACGATGAAAACTTTTCTGAAGCTAAGCCAAAAGACTTTTCTGTATAAAGTAAAGTTTCACATCTTTTTAGTCCTTATCGTGAGGCCATTTGACCTCATCTTTAAAGAAAAAGCGTAAAACTTCGCTTTTTTTCCAAGGCTTCGGGAAGAAAACTTCATCAGTTATATGCCCTAGTAAAATGATACTAGAGGCTTGAACGATAAAAAACGGCGATTCTCGTGTATCGTAACGCGTTTTCGGTTATTTTTTAAATGGTTTTTCAGTTTTCAGTACTCGGAATTCAAAACCAGCCCTAGTTTTTCATCGCATTTCATATCTTTGAACTTATTTTTAAAAGCAAATAGGCATTTTTTGCCATTTTTGCCACACACATGACGCGTTTCCTATTGTCATTTTAAAGCAAAAGCAATAGAATACACGTTTTTCAACAAAAGTAACTGCAAGTTTTGCGTTATTTCGATTGAAAAACAAGCTTTTCTCATTTGTTTTCTTAAAATCGCTTGATTTCGTTTTACATTTAAAGAAATCTCGTTTCCTATTTACACATTCAAGAAAGCCCGTTATTCATTGCTTGATTTTTAACATATTTTTTAGTGTTGGGAAAAAATCGTAAATAAAGCCTTATATTTTCTAAAAGCGCGTCTTTTTTTATGGTTTTTCAAAAATGAATTTTTGCATTCACGAAATGAGCTGCTTGGCAAAGACTACAGTTTGACAAAAAAATTCACGTTCGGCATATGTAATGACATTAAAAGTAGGTCCTGTCCTGCTGACATGTACCATTTGACCTTACGTAATCTCTATCTTACTCTTTTATGGAGTTTGAAAACTTCTTCAAAGGACTTGATGTACGACCAAAACAAGTGTTAAAAAAATGGCGTTTTTAAAAAAAACTTTTATGAAAAGGGATCAAATCGAGTGTGTTATAATGCCGAAAACCTGTGTTTTTTAAATTTTTATAAAAGACGTCGTTTTGTATCGTTTAAATCTGGAGTATCGTTTTAACAAGGTTCATTTTATCACTGAACCTAAGGTTAACTTTTTAGTTTTCATAGTTTATTTATTGATCTACTCTAAATTTTGGGTCATCCAAAAATCCAAAATCTAGTATTTTCAAGTTGAGAGTGCCTATCTTTTTCTATCTAGGAACCATGGACTGTCTAAAGAAGGTTATTAAACAGGAAGGTGTCTTAGCTCTATATAATGGTTTGGAAGCTACAATGATGAGACATATTACTTGGAATGCAGGCTATTTCGGTGTCATCTTCCAAGTTAAATCTCGACTACCGACAAAACCTGAGTTGCTCAATAGTTTCATTGCTGGAACTATTGGAGGTTGTGTGGGAACTGCGTTAAACACTCCATTTGATGTTGTCAAAAGTCGAATTCAGAATTCTCCTCGAACTACTTCACCATCGAAATACAACTGGTCGATCCCGTCGTTATTTATTGTGGCTAGAGAAGAAGGATTTTGGGCTCTTTATAAGGGTTTCGTGCCAAAAGTTCTTCGTCTTGGACCAGGTGGTGGTATTTTATTGGTAGTCTATACTGCTCTAATGGAATTTTTTGGAAAATACAAATTGTCATATGCTCCAGCTGAAACTCCTTCAATCGAAGCGAACACTTTCGAAGAGATTGACTGATTAATATTTCTAGGGTTCAATACTTTTTGTTTTCTGTTTTTGTTTTGCATATTAACTGTCATCTTATGCTGCTGTCAGTACAATGGTGCGAGGGAGAGTGTGTGTGAAGAAAAGAAACAAGAATTAGATTCGAAATGTGACCTCACTAAAATTGGAAACCGATTGAGTGAAATGCATTTGATTGTGTTCAAATCTTAATCTGACAAGGCTTTTAAATTATTAGCAACTTGCTGGTCGCAGAACTAGAAAAAAACTGGATGGAAGAATTAGCCCCAACCTACCAGTAACGGTCACTTAAAGATAGCCTTTTTTTGTGTTTTTACGTCAATGTTTTGCTGCATCCGAGGTGTGGGTGTTGGTAATCTGCTTTCATCAACACCCACACCCATTTGATCTTGTTAATCATTGAACATTGTTATTCACATGTTTAGTTTTCTGTTAACTATGTAAAAGATGTCATATACTATATTTTATTCCTTTTTTCATTATTCAAACTATGGTATTTGACTATGAAACATATGAACTTGTACCTTCTTGTTTTATTTCTTCGTCTGAGAAAATGTTCACATTGAAGCTAGATGAGTTTCATTGTATAATACATTCTAGATATATACTAATTAACACAACGTATACCAAAAGCACCTTCAAAATGCAACACAACAATTTCAACGATCCCTGTAAATATTCCTAGTTACAATAAAACAAACCGAATACAAATGTTGAAATTATCTCCTTTATTTACTTCAGAATTCCTACTAACCATAATCAACCACAGTCAAGTTGACGATATGCAATCACAAGCAGCTGATCACAACCATGCACACGATGCTAATATTGATCCAATCTAAACTGCTCCCATCTTAATAACAGAACAACCATCGAAACATATGATTGCAACAAACTACACGACAAGTAGATAACCAAACTTTATCCTTATAAGAGCCTTCGCACAATAGTATACTATGTATATTTTTTGTTTGTGATGTTTTCTCAAAAAAACTTTCATTGATAATATTACATAGTATGAAATTTATATATTACTCTAACAAGCAATTGATCAGTGATTATTTTGGCACTTGTCGAAACACGTGTCTTACCAGGTATTGATTGATTTATCTTATTAAATCATTCACACCCACACCCAAAAACTATGATCATAGATGACACGAACGATGATGAGAGTATCTGATAAACTTTTGTGTTCAAATGTGCCATAAACGTATATCGTCATATGATGGACCTCATAGCACTTCTACTGGATCAAATATATGCCGGTTAAACAGCATAAAGAGCAAGAAAGAATGTATCCTTATAAAGTAACTTATTCGTGTCTAGTTGCTGCTCAAAAATTCCTATCAAACAAGAATTAATAGTTGAGAAAGAGAAACTTGAGGGTATGGATGTGGATGTAGGTGTGAAGACTCACTTACATCTACAGCCACCCACACCCTCAAAAGAAACTTTGTATAATGTTTTTTCACAAATTTAAAAAAAGATGACTTTATGTGTTTCAGTTGATGGTGATCATTTTGAATATTTGTTGTAAACCAAATTCAAATTGTATGAAATAAAACTCCAAGGAACATGCTATCATATTATGAAAAAATATGTAAATCACTCGAAATAATGAAAATATATTCAGCTCTTTTTTTTACGTC